GGCCCAGTCTCTGCCAAATTGGCATGCAGAAGCTTGTGCAGCGAATGGCACCACTGTATGTACCCACTGTACCATGAGTGGATCATCCCAAGTCATGGACGTAGCTGGGTTTTCCAGAATGGCCAGGCCCCCCTTTTTGTCCACCTCGGACAGCAAGAAACGTGAACGATCATGGATGGCAGCACTCTCCTCAACTGCCAGCTGTTGTAAGGGAGAATTGGTGGGCAGTCCATCAATGTGTTCTGGTGTCCGCACCGGGCCCAGAGGCCGTAACGTGGCACGGCTATGTTTGCTGCAGTAAGGAGCAGCCATAGCTGCAGCTATCAAGCCATGCGGCAAGGAGTAGCACAGATTCAAAAATGACGTCATCCAGCAAGTCATGGCCGTGAGTCAGATCCACGGGCTGGACACGATCGCATGCAAATGGGATGAGGGCCATACTCACAGGCTTATTTCCTGCTTAACAAACCGTGCACACAAACAACACATCACAGGGATCTATAAAATCTAGATACCCAGACAGGTGTATTAAAAAATCTAGATGCCCTGCTGAAAACGTAAACGCCGTGTCTCGAAAATTTGAAATGTGAAATCGAACAACGACAGCTGCAGGAGAACGAAAATTTTTTTCAGCGAAGCTTTCGGGTACAGGTCTCAATTGGCTGGATCAAAGCTTTCCAGCTCACCCGAGGCCAACCCCACATTCTCCAAGTGTGCTGGGAGGCTGATTCTGATCCGTCATCCTGTTCTCAAAATTGCATCAGTGAAAGACATCCGTGAAGGAGGGTCGGCTGGATTGCTTGCCGTCGGAACTCTTCCGAACCACGGGAAAAAGTTGTGCTCGGCTTCTATCGCTGTAAACTGCTTCAGAAAAGTGCGACCTGCATCCGTCGCTGCAGTCCCTTGGATATAGGCACTTCTGGCTGCCTCATTGTCCAGGAACACAACCACCAACGAGTTGGCTATGTATTGCCCCCATACAGTGGCAGCCAACAGAACTGGCAGTATTTCGAGTTCGTATATCGGGTGATCCGAGAAAATCAATAGTTGGTCCACTACTTGCTTGTGAACCCGCTCTCCGAAAAACTCAGAGACGATGCCTGAAGGAGAGACCAACACCGCTCCCACTGCGGCAGGGTTTGAACTGGATGGTTCAAAAGAACCGTCTGTAAAAATGATCCAAGTTTTGTTGATGTCTCGGTGAACCTGCACAGGTCTTACAGCAGGCAGTTGACCTTTCAGGTCTTCTAGGCTTCGAAGTAAAAGTCCCTCCACAGCTATCATTCTTGAAGCTGTGTGTGCAAAACCTGATAGGTAGCGAATCAGCATGTTCAACGTTCTCCCGAAACAAAAAGAATTGAACCAAATAAGACGGCCGTGTAAACGCTCCAGCTCTTTCGTGGAACATCGATCTTGACCAACCAGAGTCTCCAAGTTTTGCAGTACTTCATTCCTGCGGGACTCAGTATGCTCCAGTTGAAAGGAACCAGCCTCCAAATGCTCGAAGGAAATCAGAAGGCCAAGGGTTTTGAAAACGCTATTGAAGGGAAGGGCCTTGTCTCCCGAGTCTGCGAACCAAATTCCAAGCATTCTGAATAACGCTTCCATGCAAAAGGTGGCACTCATAGTTTCCGACTTTCTGCAAACCACTGTAAAGTCATCAAAGAAGGCAGTGAGCACTATGTCAAGAGCCTTCGAGGCAATGAAGGAAATGCAATTGGAAATACGCAGGAATGCCGTAACGCTTCCAACTGCGCCAAACGGTAGAGCCCCAACTCTGAACAGTTGGTAGGACCCGCTCGGCTTCCGCACTGCTATCTTCAAGAGTTCATGGTGGTAGGGGTCTACCCCAAATTGTCTGTAAGCCTGTTTGAGGTCGAACGTTCTTCCGACCAACTCCAAAGCTGCAGGCTCATCGCAATGGTCCAAAATGTAGGCCAAATAAGAGCACAGTTCATCGATGGATTGCACCCTCAACTTTTCTCTCAGGCCATAAGCTGCATTGACCCCATTGATGGAGAAGTCGTCAATCAACCTCACTTTGTTGGCTTGCTGCAGAGGGAATCTCTTTGCAATGCACTCCGGTTTGCTGCGGTCCGTTGGGTAAAGCCAGCCCTGCTCCACCTCTTTCTGGCACACAAACTGGTCGTGCTCCCCTTCGGCTGCAGAAGTCAGGGAACCTGCGACTGCTGCATTCAACGCAGGGGATAGCTTCAGCAAATGTTCGAGCGAGTATTCTGGCTTTCTAACCCACGGTTCAAAAACTCCGGTTTTGGGTGCCCAGCCAGTCAGACTGAATCCGTTGATGACGTCATCAATAATACCAGCGTCTTTGTACTTCAGGTCGACCAAAATCTCTTTCCACAAAGGCAGTCTCTTTCCTCTCAAAACTCGTTTCAAATGAAGCGGCATTTGTTCTCGTAACTCTTCCTCCTGGGAGCGCAGTTCAAGGGACCTCTTCAGACACTTCTTGAAAAACTGAGTCCGCTTTTCCAAACGCAAGTGAAGGGGTTGATGAAGCAGGTTTTATGGCACAACTAGTGCACAACGTCGCCAACGCATCACGCTTTACTAGAAAACGCATCAACGTCAACAAAACGCATCGGCTCACAGTCACAACACGTAGGCCTACATGGACCAGTTACAAAAGAAAAACCACTCGTCTCAATAATCTTCAATCGCGCACTTGATATTACGCACTTTCTTTTTCTCGGGGACAAATCATCTGAATTCAAATTCCATCCATATGCATCTTTGCGCATCTGTGCAATAACAACCCAGCACAGGTTGCATCCATACACTGAAAATAAATCCACCACACAGGTAGCATAACACGACCTGTACACTGTCATGCACAGAATTGGCACTCAGTGAAGCGCATTATGCAGAATGCTCAGAAGCTGCAATACGGCAGAATCCTCAAAACGACATATGCACTAATACGGCAGATCAAAGCCAAATACGGCGGAATAATCCATACGGCAGATGCATCAATACGGCAGACAAAGCCATATACGGCAGAATCATCAAATACGGAGGAAAAAAAACAATGCCCCATAAGAAACGCCAAATACGGCAGAGTGATGCAAAGCCGTCCCAAAAAAAAATAAAAGGCCCAAAATGAGCACCGACTCATAGAATAGTACCGTGATGTGGGCTGACCACAAACTCAACGGGATAGTATACATAGTGAAACGAAGTCCAAAATTTGGACAAATAGCCCGAAGCTGATATAAATTGATGTACATAAGGTGACATGGCCACAATCACAAAGGAATATTGGGCAAGGTGAACTCAAAGTCAAACAGGTTGCTGAGTAGAAAAGTAGCCGTGGCTCAAAACTCATCGAAAAGGATTCCAACGCTGGGTTGTGTCCAAACCAGCCAGACGTCGCAGCAAAAAGTCGCAAATGTGGTCGGAGTCAAATTGTGCAGCATCAGTTGGATAGTAAACCTGCTGTTGGATCTCTGCTGCGGCCTGCTCATGCACTTCAGAGAGAAGCGGCCAAAAGCTACCAATAGGCCTCTTGGGAGGCCATTTGCCGAAGAGCTGATCCTCGGGGTCAAGTCGCACCCAGCTGTTTCCATCCAATAAAAGAGGTACGAAACGCCCGTTGCGAAGGCCGAAGCCCCAATTTCCTCTACCACAGTCTCGAAGGCGGAATCCACGTTTGGAGGCAACGGCAACAGCAAGGGCTAGGCGATAAGCAACCTCCTCAGGATCTAATCCAGTGAAGTCGGCTTGGGCAAATGGTATCAGCCTTTCACATACCAAAATATGAAAATGGGTCTGACGGACTGGTCTGTGTGGGGCTCCTTCGGGTCGATCTGGTACTAGCTACGTAAGGGGGAATCCACCCAAAACCCTCCCTTCTATGAGAGAGTACCCATCGCTTTGCGCATTGTCAATTCCGCTCCAAATCCTTATTCCAAAAAATTTCCAAACGCCAACGCCGCGGAGAAAACACGTGAGGCTATCGCCGCGGTATAATAAAAATAATATATGGAAAAAATCGTATACGACAGCTTCACTCGTGATGCACAGCTTTATTAATATTTCCTTTTTCATTCTTCCTTAATTGTGAGTTGGCTACCACAACCTGTTTTATTTCTTTGCTCAAACGCTGGCCTAGAAATATGGCCACCGAGCGATTGAGCCCCCTTAGGTCGTGGGTGGGTGGGCTACAAAAAATGTGCACCAACCCAAAAACTTGATCCACTGAAATATCACGAATATAAAACAGAATGAGAAATGAACTTCAGAAGCATTATTCCTTGAACTTGATTCCGGCTTCTGAAATTCAAACCAAAATTCTTAAACCCATTCCCGAGGAATGTTGTGAACAGTCCTTTGTGAGAAACGGAACCAAAGCCAAAACTCCCTTAAAACAGTTGGTTAAAATACACTTGGAGTTTGTGAGGTTTGGTTTCATCTCACTTCCAAGTTACTTCCCAAGAGTAACTTCCGCAGAAGAACCGGCGGAGGAAGAAACCGCTAAGCGCGTGGAAGGAGTAGGAAAGGATAGGAGATAATCAGAAGAAAGCGCAAGCGAAGTGTAAACCGGGCAACGCTTAGGAGCATGGATACGGCCCTAGCGTGCGCAAGGGGGATCTTGCGTCCGAATACACAGTCGCAACACGTCGCGATTGCGTACTAGCTACGTAAGGGGGAATCCACCCAAAACCCTCCCTTCTATGAGAGAGTACCCATCGCTTTGCGCATTGTCAATTCCGCTCCAAATCCTTATTCCAAAAAATTTCCAAACGCCAACGCCGCGGAGAAAACACGTGAGGCTATCGCCACGGTATAATAAAAATAATATATGGAAAAAATCGTATACGACAGCTTCACTCGTGATGCACAGCTTTATTAATATTTCCTTTTTCATTCTTCCTTAATTGTGAGTTGGCTACCACAACCTGTTTTATTTCTTTGCTCAAACGCTGGCCTAGAAATATGGCCACCGAGCGATTGAGCCCCTAGGAACCGAGGTCGGCCATTCACCAGGGTTTGAGGGAAGAAACCCGTTTCCTCTTCTGGGGCAACTGAACCTTTGGTTCTGATTTTCTCTTTCTCAACTCATCATGAAAAGAATTTGCATGGGCCATGAACTCTTCCAAAACCAACCATTCTTGTTGAAACGGATCCCACCTGACGCGGTCCTGCAAGGAGAACATGTCGAACTTCTGGTTGGTGAGATCGTCGGCCAGTTGATTCCATTCACGCGGAACACAGTCCAGCTTCAGATTGCATCTTCCAAGTCTTAACGACTCTGACATTTCCATAATAAAAATTGTAAGAGGAAACTTCGTGCTCATCCATTTTGTCAAAGCGTATGTGTTGGATTGATTATTCGTTTTTCCTTTCAACCAGCATACGGCCTCAGAGTGTTGTTGCGATGGCGGCATCCACAGTTTCACCGCAACCAGACTAGCCAGTAACTTCAAGGCCGCAATGATCCTTTTGGGATCCCTTTTAAGCTTCAGCCACGGCGCCCAAGCAATCGGCACCTCTTCTGAAAACCACTCCAGCACCTTTCCACTCGCATCTTGTTTGAAGCCACCAATCCAAGCTGAATCTTCTGTGGCCTTGGCATCTGTATAAAAAGTAATCTGTTTGCCCTCCGATTGTTCAAGTGGAGGGGGGCACTGCAAATCACCACCCTCCAAAAATCTCCTTGCCAAAAACCTCAAGATGGTTCTCAACATTGCAGGCACCCGCAATGCTCCACGCTTCGTTCTGATGGCCGCACACCAGCTGTAGAGCGGCCCCAAAAATGGCCTCTCCCATGTCAAGGCCATGGCTGCAAAGCCTAGACGGCCCAGCCCTTGCTCAAAGTTCTTTGCTGTTGTTGTACCAGTGTCGGCAAGTTCCTTCACCCAATCGTGCATCCAGCGCGCCCGTGATGGAGACAACCCCAGCTTGTAAACGGAGTAGTCAGAAAAAAGTCCAATCCACTCCACTCTAAGTCCTCCCCTCTGCTTTGCCCACTTAAACGGAAATCCTAAAGCAGACATGTAGAGGAAGGCAAGGGTTATTCCTCTCCTACCGCCAGCACTTGCACCCAAAGCCTCAAGATCGTCAGCGAACAGAAGTAGCTCCACCGGCATCTGTGGACCCAAAAGCTCGTGCACCAATCTGATCCCTGCACCTGCAATCCTGCCCCACCAGTATGAAGCACATGCCACTCCAAAAGTTCCAACATTGTTTATGTATAAGTGGTCGTCTGTATCCAGGACTCTGCATGCTAACAAACCTCGTTCTTCTGGAGAATGAAGGAAACGCCTGTGAGCCTTGGATATGTCCCCAACCAGACTGAAGACTGAGCATCTGTTCTTCTGGAAATATGCCAAAAGGTATTGTTTCTCCCTCGCACTGGGGGACCTTGTTTTGTCACGGCACCGTATCCTGTTGTTTAACTTTGTCCCGTGAGTGGCATCGTGAATCACCCTCCTTTTTCCCTGGTGGTTCTGCTCCACCAGCACCGCCAGCGAAGAAATTGCAACCTTGTCTCCAAACCTGGTTTTTGCCTGCTCCAGTGTGAGCCTCTCCATCAAACCTTCCGCACACTCCTCTGCAAAGTGCTCCCTCACAGATTGTACATGGTCACCTACCGACTGGTAGTTTGAGCGCCAAACCTCCTCTTGCATGTGAGGGTCGTCCTCCAGCCGCCACGATGTTTGTTCTTCGTAGCAATGCGGTGTCCTCGGCAATGGATTAAGAACACCCACAGGGTAACCAACTTCGCCCTGCATCAAAAATTCCCTGTCTGCATCTTCTCCAAAAGCAAGTAACTCCTTCATGAGTCTAAGGTGGAAAGGTTGCCCTGGGGCCACATGGTCTAAACCCTCTTGTTTCGACCCGTGCTGTTTGAGCAGGTCAATCCAGAAGAGACGAATATCGTTTTTGAGCTTCTCATCTCTCACAATACTGCAGCCTGCTTCGCCTCGTACTGCCATCTCAAAGCATGCCCTGTCCAAAGCTCGCTCATCACCCAGATGCTTCTCTATCAACTCAACCGTCCCTTTTCTCAAACTTTCCCAAAAAGCACCCTTGCTCCAAATCCTCTGCTCCACATCCCATCTCCCCATCGAGAGGAGTCCAGCTCCATCATGAAAAAGCCGGTCTTTGCCCGGTGGCTGACACTTGCGAGGACTCCCAAGCCCCCCTGCTATTTTCCTGCCATCCGGTTTCAAAACATCATAGTTCTGCCTGTCCGAGTCCTTTGTTTGGACCCCTTCGTCAGCGAGGGCAGCAGTTGTTGCAAGGTGCCAAGAAGAAAACTGTTGTAAAATGCACGTTGCAATCCATCTGCACATGTTTGATGGCCACTGTTCTGAACCAGTCGTTGCAAATCTATCACCCAGTGTTCCGACCAGTTGACGCTTTGCAGAGCGTTGTACCAGTGGTCCAGTGTAAAAACCTCGGTCATCAAAAGTTGGTTGTCCTTCCAAGAAATATTCCGGCAGCTCTGCAAACCCCCCTAAAAGCAGTCTCGTGGGTTTGAGGTAGTCAGTTCCAAAGTCCTCCTGATAAAAAGCTGCTGTTGTCACCCGCTCATGCTGCAAAATTTCAAGAAATTGTTCAAATTGCCACATACTACCCGGTCTCCGGCCAGAATTTGGACCTGATTTGATGGCACCAAGGTCCTCCGGGTTCTCGAAAAGTGCCATTACATGTATATGTTTCATCTGCATTGCAAAGGCCAAGAAAGAAAAATCTGCCATTATGTTGCCCCAGTTTGCTCTCTTCCGCTCTGTCCAGGAAAGCCGCGTGAAACCCTTTGGCCACACGTAAGAACGGACCGGCCTAGGTCCTCTCTTGTTTGCCCATGTCACCCTGGAAAAAGTACTGCAGGGTGGACTAATGAGCACTGCAAAATATTCACCAGAAGCTATCTTGCTTAACAACCGCTCCTGGACAGCCTTTTGAGTTAGATCGAGATGCGGCTTTACCTGTATGTCAACCATCTCGACCTCCACAGTTACGCCAAAGCGCTTTGCTAACTTCCGCAACCATGATGAAACTGAATTCTTTCTCGGCTTCCCCGAAAAAATGTAAAGGACCTTGCAAACCCTCTTTGGTGAGGATGGCCCTCCATCGTTGTGCCTTGTTGTATCCTTAGGTCAGACTGATCCCGTCGTGTCCAAAGGTGCCTTGTCCTCCTTGCAATTCATTCCATTGTGGCCCTTCTTGAAACATCGATTGCAAAGATGCGCAAACTTGCATTTCTGGTAGCTGCACTTCCCCTGATTGAACCTGAAACAGATCTTTGAGCCATCTGGTGCCACTCCTGAGCCCTTGCCTTTTGATTTCCCTTTGCTGCTTTGTCCTTTGCTAGTCTTCCCCTTTCCCTTCGGGTTCCAGTCTCCCCAAGAGGCGCTAGGATTTGACCGCTTGCTGTATAAGGCTAAGGGCGTGATGAAGTGACGCTCTTTTGTGACTGGACATTTCCATGCCTGTTCCAAAGCAGCTCCAATTTTCAAATGTTCTGTAATCATCAAATTGTATGCACGCTTCCGCACTGCATGCTCGTAGCTGAGGACCAAGCTCCAAGGCGGTGTCTGTATCTGATTCCCCTGCAGGTCCGTCGATGACAAGCCCCAGACGTAATCGCCTAGGATGTAATCCTTGTAGCGCTCCATGGTGTCGCGGCTCATGTCTTGAATCTCTTCACGGTTTGTATGTTTCAAAGCAAGCTTCAAAACACAATGCAACATCACTGTGAGCCGTCTCCTGAGTTGCTCCGGCCCTGTCGGAAGCGCCACCGATGTTGTGCCCTTCTTCACTGAGAGCGACCCTTTGGAGTCGAAGACCGGCACCATAATATCCGGGTCCACCTCGTCCTTCGATACCACCTCCGACAGCAGTTCTGCTCTAAATTCACCATTCTCAAGTTCCTGTAACTTTTTCTCAAGGTACTCTTTTGATGGTGTGACCTTGTCCTCAACCTTTCCATGAGCCCTCATGAACGCATTCCTCAAGTTGATGTAGTCACCAGTAGGTATGGGCTTTGTCCACTCACGTGTGTCCATCTCCGCCTCAACCTCCGCCTGTCTTTTTTGTTTCGTTTGCGTCTCTCTCCAAGCACAAATCACTGAGGCTAACTGGGCCCGAGCTTGAAGGCCCTCATCTGCATCTGTTGCAAAGGAATCCTTCATGACTTGAATGAGGTCATCCTCTGATCTGAAGAAGGATGAAAACTTCTGAACTGTTGTAATGCCATTTGTAAAGAAGGCAGCTTGCAAGTCATCATCAACGTCATTCCGAGACAATGTGAACCTGAGGTCCGCTCCGCCCTTCTTTAGGGCCTCCTCTCTAGCAATCGGACCAGCCATCGATCCCGTGCGCGTGCAAACTGTTGAAAAACAATTGACAACAAACTCACTGCAAATGAAAGTGAACATGCATGGTAATGACATGGTGCACAATCAACCTGAACTCCAAAAAGAAAGCCGTCTGAACCTGTTTGCTTCAAGTTTCCCTTCCCAGCTACGTTATTCGTCGCTGAGCCCTGAACTCCGGAGAATCTGCGGATCTCTCATGTTCTTTTGCAATGGATTTCAACCAAAACAACGGCTCTTACAGAACTGCCATCCAAGAATCACAAGTCAATCCAAGTGTGAAAAACCCCGGAAACCTAACCAACATGTAGCCCCCCATTGAATAATTCCAAACAGTCTTCTCCGGACTGTTCCAGTAAGGCCCCTGCATTCCGGCTTGCTGTGCAAGACTTTTGATCGGCCCGCCACAATTTAGGCAACCTCCTTTTGGGCTACATGTTCAGATCCCGGTCTCTTAGAGACTGATCATGTCCAAGGCAGTTGCATGTTTTCCAAAACAAGGCTTTCCCTTTTGAGTGGATAAAAACAAATGATTGCCAAAACCTGCACCATGCCAAACTTCCACGCAATGATTGTGAAACGTCAAATCAATTGAAAGCATCCAGACAAGATTGCACCGCTATGCCAAGACAGGTTCAAATCACAACTAATCAGTTCCATCTGGATCTTCCGAGCTTGTGGCACTATCTGAACTCGAAGTGGAGGACGAGGACGAAGATCCTTCAATTGCCTCCGTCACACTGGTTTTGGGCCAACATACCTTGCAGACATGTGAATAGGCTGACCCTTCTGGCATCTGGTAAAACTCTACTGACGACTTAAAGGACATCTCACGTCCCATCCAGCAGCCACCTTGACTCTTGTGCAAACGTCTGCAACGCCTACCACTGTTCACTACCACATACAAAGGTTTCCTGGTCTCCTTTTCTGTTTGAAGTTTCTGAACTTGTGAAACATCTGCATTGGGCTCCGACTGGATGTCCTCTGATATCTCCTCTTCCACGACCTGACCAGCCAGCTCCCAACCAGGCTGAACCTGCCAGTGCATAGATTCCTCCAAGTGAGAAATAATCAACTGCACCTGTTGTTCAGGCAACTGTTCACATCTGTCCGTGATCCATGATATTGCACTTTCAATGATATCTCTTTCATCCAAAAGACCTGTCCTGTTGTTCACCCTGACAGCTTTTGCATATTGCTGCTGAAGCCTTGCTACCACACCATTGTACATCCTGATGTATGTGTCTGAACCATCAGGCTTCCAACGACCTAACATGTCACGCTCCTCTTTTGCAGTCCTCAAAAGGGCCAAACCAGTTGGAAGTGTTGCACGTTCCGAATGCTCTGTCCAGAAGGTTGATAAAGAAGGGTCCAACAGAGCTTCTGTTGTTCCGGGTCGTTTGGCAGCTTTGCGGACATATGAGGAATACGAAGTGACATCATTGTATGTCGCCATGGATCTCCTAAAACCAGACCAGTCTCTATTCAACTTCGGCAACATGTAATCACGTTCAAAGTTCGCATGTGTCTTGAAAAGATCAAACCCAGTCTTCAGCCAAAAAGGGCTTGTAACATATGCATGCTCTGAGACACAGACCGGCAGCTCCTGAACCCTCTTGGTGGGCCCTGTTGTTTTCGTGATACGCAAGATTGTTGTCATGCGCCCTGCATAGTACTTCAACTCCTTAGGGACCACTTTCTGTACGTCGTCCCAACGGAGTGAAGCCCAAATCTTGAAGAGCTTGATCCAAGCTACTGCTCTTGTACCCATCAGCAGTTGGTCGTTCTCCACCATAGCCTCTAATGATTCCAGAAAAACTGCAGGATATCTGGGTGCCCTCCTCTTTGGTGGAGAATCCTTCGACAGCATCTCTATTATGTAGTCCTTGACTGAGAGGACCACCTGTGATTCCCCAACTCGCAACCTGTCATCCACACAGGCTGTGCGTTCCATCCATGTGACCGCCTTGACTATCAAGACAGGTATGGTCGGCCCGCAAGGCTCATCAAATCTTGAAAATAAATACTCCACCAAATCACCAGGTACGGGGTAGTCAATCACCCCCTTTGCCGCTTCCAACCATTGCATGAAAGCCATCCAGGTCTTGACATAGCGCTTCAACGTGTTGTACCTAGTACGACCAGCTAGTGCCATGTGCAGATGGCGATCACTGACGCAATGCTCCAGATGCTGCAAGGCTGGAGCCTCAAACTTCTTCAATTCCAGGTATAATTCCCTGGACCAGTACTCCTTCTGCTGGTCTTCACGTTGCTTCCTTGCATGCACCTCTTCATCACTCAAATTACGTCTACGTGTAGGCCTCATGTTCAGCGCTTCCAACGAAGCTGCACTTGCTGTAGGGGTCTCCAAACGTGAACTGTCTTTTCTGGAAAAACGCTCCCTAACCAGCGGCTCCTCAAGTGGATCCAGACTGACATCGCCCCTCAACCGTTTCGCCAGAGGCTCAATGCGCCTGGAATCTTCAATCCACGTAGCCACCAGTTCCACATGCTTTTGCTCGCAAATGATACCCAGTCCACGACAAAGTTGTGAAGAAATGGAAAAAGCTTCATTCACACTAAAAACCGCAAGCTTCTTTCCAGTCAATCCATGTTTCTCCATCAACCCCCACATACAGCTTTCGATGTCCCCATCATCCATGGAGTCTTCTAGAAGACTAGGCAGCGCCGAAAAACCTCTACCTACAAAAAATGTGCACCAACCCAAAAACTTGATCCACTGAAATATCACGAATATAAAACAGAATGAGAAATGAACTTCAGAAGCATTATTCCTTGAACTTGATTCCGGCTTCTGAAATTCAAACCAAAATTCTTAAACCCATTCCCGAGGAATGTTGTGAACAGTCCTTTGTGAGAAACGGAACCAAAGCCAAAACTCCCTTAAAACAGTTGGTTAAAATACACTTGGAGTTTGTGAGGTTTGGTTTCATCTCACTTCCAAGTTACTTCCCAAGAGTAACTTCCGCAGAAGAACCGGCGGAGGAAGAAACCGCTAAGCGCGTGGAAGGAGTAGGAAAGGATAGGAGATAATCAGAAGAAAGCGCAAGCGAAGTGTAAACCGGGCAACGCTTAGGAGCATGGATACGGCCCTAGCGTGCGCAAGGGGGATCTTACGTCCGAATACACAGTCGCAACACGTCGCGATTGCGTTCAGCTAAAGAAAGCCACGAATGAAATTCTTGGACAAATTGTGCCGTGTAATCAGGGATCTGCCTGAATGCACGGATTTCTTCCGTGGTGTAACTCATATCCTCAGTGGAGGGCATGAGTTTGAAGACTAGTCGATGGTACTCGTTCGCACAGAAAACCTTATTTCCAACTCCACAACAGGCACACCAGAACACATCTTGTATTGCGTAAAACCGAAAAGCATATACATACATATACACTAAAGTATATATATGTATATGTTAACGTCGCCTATTCACGATACGCGCTCGCAGTCCGGTTTTAAGCAAAATTCAAATTACATTGCAAACGACATGTCGGAAGATTTCAAAGAATGAAAGCACAGCAGAGAAAATGAGGTCACACATTTTTCTCGACAGCAAACGGGGCAAGGTCATCACCTTCCGGCCTCTTAGGCTTAGGGATAGGCTTACAAAGAAGGGTGGGAAACAACGTTGAGGTGGGACAATCTTTGCCAAAATTTTCAGGACTATCCCTCCCTCCCTACCCTTGAAAGGAAATTTTGCCATGACAAAATTTTATAATGTGTTCATGGGTGTGTGCCAAGAAGGGTTTTGTTTTGCAAACTGTTTGGTTTCCAAATTAAAACACAAACACAAAACAAAACCCTAAAGTTGCGTGCAGAAATAAAATCGAGTTTCTTTGCAAGAAACTCTCAACTTATTTCCAACTCCACAACAGGCACACCAGAACACATCTTGTATTGCGTAAAACCGAAAAGCATATACATACATATACACTAAAGTATATATATGTATATGTTAACGTCGCCTATTCACGATACGCGCTCGCAGTCCGGTTTTAAGCAAAATTCAAATTACATTGCAAACGACATGTCGGAAGATTTCAAAGAATGAAAGCACAGCAGAGAAAATGAGGTCACACATTTTTCTCGACAGCAAACGGGGCAAGGTCATCACCTTCCGGCCTCTCCCCTTTTATGTTGAGGTGATGCCTGAGTAGTTCCCAGTGTATACTGGTCTGCTCTGCATGCTGCCTCTCACACCACGAAAGGTCTAGTCGGCTGGGCCCGTCTGCTGGATTGCTCATGCTTGGGCATCGTCCGAACCATGTCTTGTGCTGCAAGGCAGCTTCAAGTTCAACAAAGCTTCCAATCATGTATGACGCGTAGATGGTTTCTCCATTTCCTTTGATGTATGCCATTCGAGCTGACTCGTTGTCGATGTAGTATACTATGAGGGCGCCAGCATATCTGGAGCCCCAAAGAATGCAGGCCACCAGAACTGGCAGCACTTCAAGCTCATGTATTGGATTTGCTGAATCCTTGAGAAGCTCGTTCATGACATCCTCAGGCACCATGGAGCTAAAGAAAGACTGACATCTTCCAAGTGGGTCAAGTATGACGCCTCCTATGGAACCCTGTCGGAGTTCCGGATTGCAAGCACCATCCGTAAACACCAGCCAGGTATCAGTCAAAGCGACGCTGATGCGCACTGGAGGAGCTGAGAGTACACGATCCCTCAAAGTCAGCAAGCTGTAACGCATGGAGTTGTCGATCTCTTTGGGGCTGGTTTTTCCCGTGCAGAATCTTCCCAAATTCTTCACCGCTGCATTGGCTACACGGCCGAAGGTATATCCTTCGAAAAAGACCATCCTTCCTCTGAGGCGCTCTGCCTCTTTTGAATCCATTTTCCCTGTGGAAAGGATCTCGTCTATCCGTTCCTTCAACTCGCTTTTTCGCTCTTCTGTATGCCCTATGAGCACCTCTTTTCCTTTGCAGCTCGTAAGGTCAACCTGGAGTCCGAGCATTCGGAAAACCGCATCAAAAGGCATGAACTTCTTTCCGTCGGTGGCAAACTTTAGGCCCAACAACTGAAACAGCGATTCAACGCACCATGAAGTGTTGGCCAAGAGCTCCCTTCGGCTCAGGACACTGTAGTCGTCGTAAAACGACGTCCAACAAATTTGTAGGGCAACCAACCCCATGTACCAAACTGACATGCTGACTCTGAGGAAACTGGCAACGCTTCCTACAGCTCCAAATGGCAATGCATTGAAGCCGATCAGACGAGGTTTATCCATTGAGGGGTCTCTGACGGCCATGCGCAAGAAAGCACGGTCTGAACCATGCACAGGAAACTGTTTGTAGGCCGACTTCAAGTCGTAGCAGCGTCCTAGAACTTCAGGAAACTCAAGGAAAGGAAACTTCTTGAAGGCAGCTGCCATCATGGATGCCAAGACGTCTATGGACTGTAGCTTGAACTTCTCGTGAAGACCCACTGTCCAGTTCAAGCCACAGCATGAGCAGTCATCAATCACCCGGGTTTTGTTGGATTGTCGTATGCCAAAACGGCGTCCAATGAAAAGGCAGGCGTTTGAGTCTGCAGTCTCGTCAAACCAAATCCACCCTTTTTTCGCTTCTTCAACTGTCTCTTCCCAAGTCTCAGCCTCAAGCTGTGGCTCTTGTCGCACATCCATGCTGCGAAGTGTTGTAGCGTTGAGTGCCTTCGAGAGCTGCTTAAGTGTACTCAAAGACATGGACGGCCTCTTTGCTCTTGCTCTGAAGACATTTGATTTTCCCATCCAACCACTGAGTTTGAAGCCAGCAGCCATTTCATCTATCAAAGAGGTGTCAGGGTAACCGAAGTCAGCAAGTATTTCCTTCCAAAGAAGGAGACGCTTTCCCCCAACCAGGTCCTTCACATGATCTGGCATGCCAAGCCTCAGTTTTTCTTCCTGCGCATGGAGGTCCTTTGCCCTACGCAGGTATTTGTGGAAAAATTCAATCCTTCTTTTTGCTAAGTTTGCTGGTTCTTCCAAAAAATTTGCATTCAACATGGCTTCCATCTGCGGGTCCATGTACTGGTCAAGGCTTCTAGGATGCCCTGCTGCCAAAGCCCTCTGTATGAAAACGTCAGGTTCGCTTGGGACTCCAATGTGCACCTTTTCTATCATTTCTGACTGCCCTAAGTCCAGAAAAAAGACATTGGGATCCCCTAAGTGAGCAGCCTGTGCTTCTCCCCTTGTAACGATGCGGCGCGAAACTATTTTTGATCCTTTTGGTTGCTGTGCCACGAATGTTTCTGTCAATGCAGGCTGTTATTTCCAGTGTTAGTGGCTGCTAGTTACCCTAAGCAAAGGTGTGTTCACACCAAACCATTCCTCCAAAATTTTTCCAAGACGTTCAAGCTTAAACCATCCGTCCACCAAAAAGGTTTTCACTGCCAAACGATTTTGAAAGCAACATGTTCCTCCAAAACTATGAAGTGCCGAAGATCACGCACCTTTTTTGACACCAGTGACAGCGGGCTGTGCAAATCGAAACGTCGATCCGTCGTTCCAATATGGCTATCACCAGTTCCAGCAATCACATAAATCGCTGGGAAGAAGAAGCGCAAGTTCAGCAATCACATAAATCGCCGCCATAAAAATTCCATCAACGTTCCAACCAGTTCAGCTGCTCAACTTGAAGATCCCAGCAACCATATAAATCGCTGTCGAAAGAAGCGCAGTTCCACCGGACAAAGAAGTCAGGGCACAGGCCCAGTAAGATAACACACAATGTGCAGTATCCAAAGGGAGGGTTGGGTGGGGCAACCTCTACCAAAAAAGTAAGAGGCTACCCGCCACCCGTCCCTGAGAGCCATGTGTCAACGACATCCATTGATCAAGTTGACCTTCATCAAATTGAACTCCGTTCTGAATTGACATGTCTGTAATTGACTGCCATGACAAACTGTACATGAAGTTGAGGGACATCGATCAAAGTGCAAATCTGCAATTCCAATTGACATCACTGAAACAAGTTGTTGTTTTCCAAACTGTTGTTTGTTGAAAACCGATTTACTTCGAGTGATCCTTCAGCAACAGAGGAGGGCATCAACAAGAAGGAAGAGCAACAAGCAGCACGAGAACAAGTTCTCTCACTAACACTGGAAATAAGGAGCTATCAACAAGTTGACCGCAAACTTATTTCCAGTGTTAGTGGCTGCTAGTTACCCTAAGCAAAGGTGTGTTCACACCAAACCATTCCTCCAAAAATTTTCCAAGACGTTCAAGCTTAAACCATCCGTCCACCAAAAAGGTTTTCACTGCCAAACGATTTTGAAAGCAACATGTTCCTCCAAAACTATGAAGTGCCGAAGATCACGCACCTTTTTTGACACCAGTGACAGCGGGCTGTGCAAATCGAAACGTCGATCCGTCGTTCCAATATGGCTATCACCAGTTCCAGCAATCACATAAATCGCTGGGAAGAAGAAGCGCAAGTTCAGCAATCACATAAATCGCCGCCATAAAAATTCCATCAACGTTCCAACCAGTTCAGCTGCTCAACTTGAAGATCCCAGCAACCATATAAATCGCTGTCGAAAGAAGCGCAGTTCCACCGGACAAAGAAGTCAGGGCACAGGCCCAGTAAGATAACACACAATGTGCAGTATCCAAAGGGAGGGTTGGGTGGGGCAACCTCTACCAAAAAAGTAAGAGGCTACCCGCCACCCGTCCCTGAGAGCCATGTGTCAACGACATCCATTGATCAAGTTGACCTTCATCAAATTGAACTCCGTTCTGAATTGACATGTCTGTAATTGACTGCCATGACAAACTGTACATGAAGTTGAGGGACATCGATCAAAGTGCAAATCTGCAATTCCAATTGACATCACTGAAACAAGTTGTTGTTTTCCAAACTGTTGTTTGTTGAAAACCGATTTACTTCGAGTGATCCTTCAGCAACAGAGGAGGGCATCAACAAGAAGGAAGAGCAACAAGCAGCACGAGAACAAGTTCTCTCACTAACACTGGAAATAAGGAGCTATCAACAAGTTGACCGCAAACTTATTTCCAGTGTTAGTGGCTGCTAGTTACCCTAAGCAAAGGTGTGTTCACACCAAACCATTCCTCCAAAAATTTTCCAAGACGTTCAAGCTTAAACCATCCGTCCACCAAAAAGGTTTTCACTGCCAAACGATTTTGAAAGCAACATGTTCCTCCAAAACTATGAAGTGCCGAAGATCACGCACCTTTTTTGACACCAGTGACAGCGGGCTGTGCAAATCGAAACGTCGATCCGTCGTTCCAATATGGCTATCACCAGTTCCAGCAATCACATAAATCGCTGGGAAGAAGAAGCGCAAGTTCAGCAATCAAATAAATCGCCGCCATAAAAATTCCATCAACGTTCCAACCAGTTCAGCTGCTCAACTTGAAGATCCCCTCATAACCGTGTTTTCCGCAAGTGCAAGCATGATTTCTTGTAGTCCATCACAGACCGAAGTTTCGGGAATTCTTCCTTGGATAAATCTCTGTGTTGCCCCCCTTGATGGCTCATCTGCAATGTTCGACGGTGTGGGTATTCTCGCATACCAAGGTGTTGTACAACTTGACATTTCCAATTTCAACAAAAATTCAATCAAGCAATTTGCGGTGATGTTCATTCCATTTCCAGAAATGGCAACATCTCTTGCCGAGTTATTGTCAACAAAACAGATCAAAGACATTGCCTTTATGTAATCACGCCACACTGAAAACGCCAACACCAAGGCCAACAGCTCCGCCTCAAAAATTATTGTCTTCTTTGTCTCCGACCCCAGAAGTTCCAGTTGTTCATGATTCAGTGCCACCGAGAAAAATGCCACTTGCCTGCCGTTTGGTCCTACTAGGACACCTCCTAATCCGCACTGCCAGTCGCTTGAAGTCGGCTCATAACAAGCATCCGTGTAAATGTGCCAAACCATGTCTGTGCTCAAGTGAATACGCCTCGGCTCAGCATGTTCCAAAAAGATGGTAAACCTCTTCAAAGCATCCATGGTTCTCTTGCTCAACCTCGAAGTTTTCAAATCACAAGAATGATTTGTAACTTCTCTCATACACAACTTTCCCAATCTTCCAAATAATTGACCGTCCATGAATTGCATTCTGCCCCTGAGTCTTTGCGCTTCCAAGGTTGTCATGCTTCCTTTGGTCAACAAGGCATTTATGGTGTCGACCAACTCCATGGATCTTTTTGCAGTGTTTGTAAACTTAATCAAACCTTTGTCCGCCTCGTCCAGATTGATACGAATGCCCAGGGCTCCAAACTCTCGACAAAAACCATCCGCCTTGTCACCTTCTTCCGCAAATTTCCACCCCAACAATTTGAAAAGAAGTGATACTGACTGCTCAGTGTTGTTCACATGTTCGTCTCTGCTGAAGACCACGTAATCGTCGAAGAAACAACTCCAGATCAGGTTCAACGCTTTGACACCTATGTACCATATGGCATTCGACAATCTCAAAAACGAATATACACTCCTGGTTGCACCAAACGGTGCAGCAAGCAACTGAAATATCTCTGCTTTGGCTCTCTCTGGGTTGTATACGGCAACGAAAGCAAATGACAAGGACTCCTTTGCTATTGCAAGTTGCTTGTATGCGCTTTTCAAGTCGAACGACCTTCCCATCAACTTTGAACCTTCACTAACTTTCAAAACGGCCAAAAGCATTGCCGCTATGAAATCGGCTGAATGTGGCTTGGGTGATTCAGCGGTTTGCACAGTTTGATTTACGCCACTGGCGCTTAGATCGTCTATAATTACAACCACCCACAGCAGCCATACATTGGAAATGTCCAAAATGATTTTTTTGTGTTCCAAATGTATGCTGTTTGTATGCTCAAAAGGTACTTCTAAGTGTATTCCAGAAAGGCTCTTTTCCAGCCCATGTTCTGTGTGTATGTCCCTCAGATATAGAAAGACATCCATTTTCCCAGAAAGAGATATCCCAAGTGTGTTCTTCAAAACCTGAAATTCTTCCAGTGATTCAAACTTGTATTCCAACTGTATTCCCCGTCCATCCCGGCCACCTGAGCCCCAAATCCAAAAAAAAACAGGAATGTCTCGAGAAAAGTGTGTTCCAAGTGTATTCCGAGTGTATTCCAAGTGTATTCCAAGTGTATTCCAAATGTGTTCCAAGTGTATTCCAAATGTGTTCCAAGTGTATTCCAAATGTGTTCCAAGTGTATTCCACAAGTTCAAGTGTGTTCCAACTGTATTCCCCAAACTCATTCCAAATGTATTCCCATTAGGCTAATGTATTCCCAAGTGTGTTCCCAAGAGGACATGCACAGTGAACTCGCTGTGCAGTTTGGGGCGGGTTTAAGACAATTTGCAAATACAAGTTGAATACAGTGCTGGTTTTGGACTATGTTTCAAGGCACGTTTTGAAGATACAAACTGAACACAACTGGAATACAAAATAAATCATTTTACTGGCTGCCAATCTATGGCTGGTCAGGCTCTTGTAAGTCTATAAGTCGAATCTTGCCAGGTTGCCTAAGGCCAAATCTCCTGCTGACCACTGCGTCACTCGGCAGCTCTTCCATGAGAATGGGGCCTATGGCCCAACCGCAGTCCACCTCCTCCATAGTCTTGCTGTAAACCATGGTATCGATTTCTTTGTCACCTGAGGAAGAGCATTTGAAAAAGTTCAGCATGCGTTCTGACTTGCTGGCTTCCTTAAGCTGCGAAACTGTTTTTTCAGCAGGCCTAAATGCTTTCTCAAAAATTCCGAAGGGCTTCACTTCACCCACAAGGTCCGTTCCATTAACCAGTTCATCGAAAGCTCCAATATCAGGGTATTCCAGTTCTACCAAGATTTCCTTGAAAAGGGCTAACCTCTTCGGTTCAAGAATCTTGGCTGCATGACTAGGGAGTGCGCTCTTGATCTCTGCATCATGTTGCTGAAGTTGTTTAGCTCTTTCGGTCCATCTTGCAAACCATTGGATCCTATTGTGGGGCAAATGATGCAAACCAGTTCTATCAAAATTGTTCTCGATGGCCGTTTGCAAGATTGCTGGTACTAACCTGGAAAATAACTTGGGATGTCCTCGTTCCACAGCTTCCTGAATAAATTCGTCAGGACTAAACGGTATACCCCAAGCTTGCTCAAAAACTCCAACTGCTGTGTCATTAAGCACCAATAAACCCCCCTTTGACCGCAATGGAGTGGTGCGCAACAGCTGGGCACCCTCTGGCAAAATGTTCAACCCCGTCTCACAAGATTTGGGAACTTCCCAAGGTGACTTAAGACGTTGCATAGGTTCCACAGGGGCTGATGCAAGGTCTGCAAAAGGCCCAGTGATGAGCACCACCTTCCTGTGTTCCCTGACAATTGGCGGCATTTTGGATGCCTTCGGCTGAGCTGTTGCAATGGCTCTCATTGATCGCAATGACACTTCCTGATGCTCCTGAAGTTGCTCTTGAGGCGGCTTCCAACCATGCTCAGCTAAAATTAATGCGAAAACTCTTGCAATGGCTCGCGCTAACCCTGTTGGGTATGCCGTCTCCTCACTTGTGGAGAAATGAGTTCCTGAATCAGAGTGTACCAAGCCCCATGGTTTGTGCTGGTGCAGGGGTGATACACCTGGACAACATTTTGAAATTGCTGCAAAAGCTGGATGATTCCAGGCTAGGACCGTCCACTTTGGCCTCTCTCCTCCATAAGCGCATGCCTGATGCGCTGAATATTGCATTGGAGCCTTGATTTGTTTCCAAAACCTTGTAAGCCAGAATAAAGAAGACCGTGGATTCTCCACTACCACAAGCAAACCCAACTCATGCGCCATGTCCACAACTGTTGCCAAGAAATCATATAATTTGTTTGCCGCTGAAACTCTCATTCTGTCCTTATGCCCCAACCCTGGTAACCCTTCTGGCCAGTCTGTTGACCGCAAAGGTTTTGGGCCATGCAGGGGCTTGCCTGTTGAATCACGCAGTTTGATGTTTCGAGCGAGAGAACAGGTACCGCAAGGAGGTGCAAGAAAAATCCCTACGACCAAAGGTGATTGCAACCACTGAAGGAGTATAAGCTGATCTGTTTTCTCCGTAAGGTCTAAACGTTTGGCTGTCGCCACCGCCTTGTCCAGCTTGTGGTCCACTCCAAAGGAATCCTTGAGTCCAACCTCCTTGAGGCTTGCAGTCAGTCTGGCACTGCCACAGAAAATTTCAATAACCACTGGACATGTTAACTGTTCTATGCTAAATGCAAAACCATCTGTTGTTGAACTTTGCATTTGACTTGCTGCAGAACACAGGCTGTGATTCACTGAACCATCCAATGCTACTGGGTTCCAAGCCGCTGGCTGTTCCGCTTGAGGAGTGGTTGAGGTGGTGCCAGAAAATTGACTACTATTGATTTTTGGCTCTGGCTTATCCTTCAAACTTTCATCAAAACTGCAACCAACATCAATGTCAGTCTTCGCTGCCATGTCATGTTCGGTCTTTTGTTGGGTTGTGTTGCTGTCATCAACACGCTTTCTGCATGGATCACTCGACGCAACTGAAACTGAAAAATTTTCAAGTGAAAAATTGTCCGAACCTTCCACACATCGTTTTGATGGATCACATGTAAGGCCCTGACCATGATCTGACTGCGCAACGAGTCAAGTCGACTCATGCTTCTGGATACCATGCATACCGTAACACTTCGCACAAATATGAAGACCCCGTCGACATTTTGCTCCATCTGCTGCTTCAGAGCACCCTGAGCTGCTGTTGAATCCAAAACAAATTGCCTCACCAAACGGATTGGAAGCCGTGCCACCCAGTTTGAAGATGTGATGGGGTACTCGAACCTTGCCCTTTCCTCCTTTCTTGCCACCCTTGGTTTTGAGCCAAGGTTTCTGCACCTGCAAATGTGCTCCTTTGCCACCTTGGTTTGCGGCCGGCTTGGTCGTCTTCGATGGGCTCGGAGTGCTATCCTTCTTTGCTATCAATGGCAGCAAGGCAAAGGACACCCTGTAACTTTGGAGACTCTCCATGAGCTTCGAATCCAGTGAAAGGGTTCCCATTTCATCCCTTTTAGGTTGAACGCCCTCCTCCAAGAGCATCTGCCACACAGTCCGGTCGGCGGCAACAATCTGACTCACACTGGTCCTTGCGTACCCCACAGGCGGATCTCTATGCAAATGTCCAAAAAGCGTTGTGATGTACCTGGTATAGTTTTCATGGGTGATGAGGTCTGCAAACACCAGCGCTATACCACGGCGCTGAAAAGCCTCTTGCACCTGGAGTGCTGAGGTGACCGTCATGTCTGGGGTGTCCTGCTTTTCCTTCACAATCAAGTTCTCAGCTGAGATATCCAACTGTTTCGTTGGAGTCTTTTGATTCAAAACTTCATGAGTCCTCGAGATACATTTTTCAGGAGGGATGTATTTGATTTCATTGAGTTGCATCATACTGGCTGTGGTGTCCAGAAGCGCATGTCCAGGTTCAAGCGGCCCTTCAATGAGGAGACCTGTCAGTCTCTTTTTGATGGCCTTCATTTTGGTTTCACGCTCCACCACCGGCACCTTCTTAATCGTTGAAGCATCTGTGGCATTGACTTGTTCCTGCAAAGACGCTAGCACCATAGTTTGACTCTCGAAAAGAAGCCTTTTGGCACCAGCAACATCTGCCAAAGTTGCACCTGTCAAAAGTTGCCCTGTGACCCATGTCTCAAATCCCTCATCCGAAATATTTTGACCAGGCTGTCCATATGCATACGCAAAAGTGCCAAAGGTTTGCAGACCTGCTCTATGCAAGCTTCGCTTCAATTCCTCGGACAACTTGAGGTCAATGGTGCGTTGAGTAAATTGTGCCTCAGAATCCAGTAAACTTGCCATGGCAAACGCAGGTCAACTATAGTTCACAAAAAAGGAAAAAATCATGCTCGCTGTCTTTCAAATCATCTGCTCTATTCGATTTTGATGCTCCTAACACGCATTTCAACCTAAGCATGAACTTGGTGAGTTCAAGAAAAAATCAAATGCGTTCGTCACAGCATGAGTCAAACATCGTGATGTCCAAATTTGATTTACAATTCACGCTGATGCTCAAAACCACCATGCTTATGAGCCTCGCTCCAAAGCATGCACTCAATTGGTTGCCACGCAACCCAACTCTTTGACAGACGAAGTTCACACTTCACACTTGCGATACGCACTCTGACACAACTTCCCCAAACTCAACCCTACTGCCATGCAGCAGGTTACAAGTTTGTGCCACAGCGCGACTTTTTGTTCTCCTACGCAAGTGCCTTCGGAAGCAAACCGTCTTTGACAGCGTTGCTCCTACATCTTTTGCATACATCAAATGAGTCAAACTGTGTGATGTATTTATAATTTTGATTCAGGGATCTTCCACAGGAGATCATTCTGGCTCCATGGCCATCCACCAAGCTCGGGTCCGTGTAGTGCACCAACTTTGAAACATTGTGCACCACAAAATGTCCTGCCAAGGGCCCCACTGCGTTGTGCCTAAAGCACTTGGGCGCAGGCTGAGGGATCTCCTCTCCAGATTCTGAATCCTCCATGGACTCCGATCCATCTGAAGACCCTTCGCAGCTCTCCACTGCAGGCACCTCTCCTTTCTCGGGAGCTGTTTCACATGGCTCTTCTTCCGTTTGCTCCTCATCAACTTTGACTACTTCTCCTCCAAGCTTTGGTACTGCCTCATGCACCTGAGGTTGTGCTGGGTAATACCCAGACCTGGCCGCATCTGGACAGAATTTCCCAGAGCAAATACTGTTGAGCACCTCTTGCAACCTTGACACTGCACCAATTGCAAGGTCCCTGGCATAAACTGCACTGGATTCACCGTAAGCGCTGGAGTGCCTACCCAAAACAGCTCTGTCAGAGGCGCTCATACATGCTTTTGATGCCCAGGAAAGAACTGTTGCCTTCAACGAGTGCGAAGACACCCTTTCAACACTCTGCACTGAGGCCTCGTCCTCCAACATGAGACGGAGAAAACGTGTCACCTCCTGTGAAGTAATGCCCCTTTGGCAATGCGACTCTCCTGAGGCTCCAGGCGGCCTGAAAAGTGGGCCAGCAATTTTGCCCTCCAAGCAAAGACCATATTCCTCAAAGACAGCCTTTGCTGTTGATATCCACTCACTGCCCGTGATGCCCAATGCAGGCAGAACAATTGGCAGAAGCTTTGACTTCTGTGTCACCGTCCTTGCTGTCTTGTGAGTCCTGGTTGTCACCTCCATGAACCCACCTTCAGGCCCAAAATCCAGGAGCACATCCTCCACGTTCTGAAGGTCACTGTGACGGCATCGTTCATAAAACGCAATCAACAAATATGCAACGATAGCTCTGTCAACGCAATTGCAGGATTGGTCCAACAACTTCTCATGAAGAAATCGCACCTGACTCACCGTCAAGACCAAAGCCTGCCTCAATGGCGCCTTTGCCGAGTGCATGATTTCTGCCAAGCCCTTGAGTCTCCTGCTTGAACAAATGGACTCAAATCCAGTAAATCCAAACACATGCAATGCATAGGCACAAGCCGACAGGAAGCTGGTACCCCTGGTTGGTGCTGCACCCTTCTCTCTCAACTCCAGCAAATAGCTCCATGCTTCTAACTCTGAAAATTCCTTTCCGTCATTTTCTGAGGTATCGGCTCTCCATCTCAAAAACTTGAGCAAAGCATTGGCCCTTGTGACAGCCGTGGTTCTGGATCTTACGCCTATTACAGCTTCGATGACCTGAAAGGCGCCTTTCTTCTGGTCCTCCATGTTGCCCAGTCCAATGATGTCATGTCCGACTGATGACGCAAGCATGTTGACCCTGATGATGCAAAACCATTTTCCCACTGCAGTTGCCAAAAGATTCTGACGCTCTTGCAAAAAGGACTGATCTGAAATGGATGACAGCGCATGCTCATAAAAGGCCCCGACCAGCTGATGACGACTGCCCACTGCGGATGAAAACTCATCCATTGTTTCAACTTCAGGCACAACATCAAGTCCAACCCATTGCCGTGGTTGTTTGAAAACGTTGTGCAACAGATTCTCAGGTTTTTTGAATACCTTCTTGAAGACTCCTTTCTCCCAAGGCATGACCACTTTCAAAGGTCCTCTAGTGCTAAGAAACGCATGCGACAAGTGCTGCTCAAAACTGGCCTCCGTCAATGTAGGGCCTCGAGGAACAAGCTTTGCACTCAAGTCCAGCGCTCCTTGTTGCGACAAACTATTGCCTTCAAGAGGGATGCAATCAAAATGAGAGTCCTTGCATCCAGTCTCACTCACATCAATTGCAAAATCTCCAAAAGGGTTTTCTTCTGAGAATCCTGCTCCAAACGCGTTGCCGTGGCTGTCAACGCTGGGTTCATTGCCAACATGCTGACATTCAAAGTCAGAATCACTGTTGGCATTTTCTGTGGGCCCAACTGAGTATTTAGTCAATGTCCTGGATCTCCACGGCATGACTAGAATTTTCAACTGATGCACTGTCACTGGAAGTCAAATCTTGGTCACTGGAGGTAAAATCTTGGTCCCAAACGTCCCCTCCTTGACCGGCCAGCTGGAGCGCGGGCTGCACAGGTGGAGTTGGCACTGAAAAACCTGACCCTTGGTAATGAAGTCGCACTGCAGTTGCTGTCAAAAGCAAATCACGCGTCTCCACAAACAAAAAGACACAGGTCCTCAAATATCGATGGGACTCCGAAGGAGTTGAATAGGCCAGGATATTACCTTGAAGATCAAACCAACCAGGAAAGTGCAGCAAAAAAGTATCCTGGGAATTGCAAGCAGCGAAACGATCCAGGCTAATCCACATACGCAGTGCCAAACAAGATCCACCAAATGAAAATCACTGCACAGAAGAAGCCACTGACGAAGAAACTGCAGTCTCTCTGCAGACACGCTGAGCTGACTGGCACCGGCTGGAGTGCCAACGGACTTGAAATTGCCACTTTGCCCCTGGCTCTGGCGCCCATGCAGCTCTGGCTCCCCGCGGTGATGCAGTGAAATTGTAAAACAAAATAACTGATGCAAGAACTGTTGCCGTGAAACTGCAATGACACTCAACACAAAACACAAAACATGCAACCAAAAAAGTTGACATGCAACCTCTACCAAAAAAGTAATAGGCTACCCGCCACCCGTCCCTGAGAGCCACGTGTCAACGACATCCATTGATCAAGTTGACCTTCATCAAATTGAACTCCGTTCTGAATTGACATGTCTGTAATTGACTGCCGTGACAAACTGTACATGAAGTTGAGGGACATCGATCAAAGTGCAAATCTGCAATTCCATTTGACATCACTGAAACAAGTTGTTGTTTTCCAAACTGTTGTTTGTTGAAAACCGATTTACTTCGAGTGATCCTTCAGCAACAGAGGAGGGCATCAACAAGAAGGAAGAGCAACAAGCAGCACGAGAACAAGCTCTCACTAACACTGGAAATAAGGAGCTATCAACAAGTTGACCGCAAACTTGTGGGTCTGCATAGACTGTGATGTAGTGCCCAAACTCGGCCACAAGAGGTCTAACCTTGTGGCCACGTGGCAAAGCACCTAAAACAACTCTGGAAAGAGAATCTGCATTTGGCCCTTCAGCTTGTTCGGCTATGGTTTGGGGTGAATGAGCACCCATCTGCAAGGCAACGCTGCGGACGCAGTTGATAATGCGTTCACACAAAAGCCAGGGGTATGCAGCTTCTTCTGCTGTTGCAAACTTGATGCTGCCATCCTTCATTGTTGTGGTCCATGGCTTGTGTGTGTTTTCCATCGCAAAGCAACGCCAGTTCGTCCAACCAGGTGTCGTTTACCCAAAGCGAGGTCGACTTGTCTCTGGCACCACCATGCGCACATCCATGAAAAGTCGCATAGTGATGCTCTTGTTCTTCGCAAAGTAATCTCATTGGAGAAGTGTTCCAGTAATGAGAATTGGTTGGATTTTCCAGCGCAACAAAAATCTTGTGCATGCAAGCCCTTGACGCTATCTTGTAGACTGCTTCGTATATCAAGTTTGCTTTCTCGACTTTCAGCTTGTCAAGACCTCCCAACCCATCCAATTGGTCGGGTTGTTGTGTGGACCTCAAAGGAATGGGAACCTTCCCACCAGCTGCTTCCAATTTTGGCAGTTTCTTTTCCCTTGCTCTACTGCTGGTGCCACATGGAGGCGCTACCCAAATCATGAGAATGCAACCTGCTGCTTCATCTATGAATTGCATCAACGATTCCAAGTCTGAAGGATCTGTAAGATCAAAGACGCAAATTGGAAAGCCACATGTCCTCGCTGTTGAGTGATCCACAGCCATTGTTTTGAAACCATGCCCATGCGCAATCTTTGAAAGTCGGGCTGACCCCGCACAAATCTCTATGATGTAGAGGTCCTCCAATGAAAAACCTGTCAAATCTCTTGCAAGTGAATTGTGGTGGGTGTTCGCCTTTTGGCATCTCCCCAACATGCTCATGAGTGTCGCCATTTGGCGTCTCCTCCATTAAAATGAAACGGTTTTGCAACGTGTCTTCAACATCTGAAAGTTGCTTCTCACCGCGTGCTTTGGCATGTGAGTGGGTGTCACCATCCCCACCTGAACTCTGCCCACAATCTTTTCGACGCTTGTAGGTTGGCTCAGTGGGCGTGATTTGTCACGAGCCCTTTACATCTCGGCAAACAACCACTGAATGGCCAGGTTTGTGGCAGTTTGCACAAATGTGCAACCCACGCTGACATCGTGCTGGCTTCCCATTTGTGGGCAACTGGCATCCATCCTTCAAATTGTAATTCCAGCATACCTGGCCAGAAGAAACCTTCATGTTATACTTCTTGAGTTCGTCTGGGCACCCACGCTCAGCTCTGGTTTTGCGCTTGCTTGGCCTCTTCGGTGCCGCTGCTGCTGGCCTGGTTGGAGCAGGCCTTGTTGGACCACCTGTGGGCTCGGATACCTTCTGATTAGAAGGCAAGGGCGAAAGGAGCATGGTGACCCTTGGATCTGTGGTCAGGCGCTTGACATGAGCGTCCAAAGGGATATCGTTCCCTGTCATCTTGAGGCTACCTGTGACTTCCTGCGCAAGGATTGTCCACATCTCGCGGTCAGCCCTCACCAGTTGTTCCAGTTTTATCTGCTGAAAACCTGGACTGACTGGCCTGCTCAAAACGTTGAGCATGTAGTTCACCCATTGTTGGTGAATGCCCCAACTGAGAACCCTGCATTGGTCCATGGCAAGACCACGTCTCATCATGCACCATTGGAATTTCAATTCCGAGTTCCATTCTGCTTCCACTGTGTCGGTGCTGGGTCCCACTTTCAGTTGCGCATTCTCCACCTGCACGGACGACTTGGAGTCCTTGAGCGCTTGTTGAACTTCATCATCGCGCTTGCTGCATTTGGATGGGGCCAACCAGACTATGGCACCGCTCTCCAACATTTGATTGGCCAGGTCCAAGAGGGCATGACTGGGATCCAGCTCTCCCACCATTGAGATGCCGGTCAACCTCGCCATCTGATCCTCTTTCCTTTGCCTTTTCTCAGCCAAAGGAATTTTCCTTGCTGCATCTCCTTTGTCTGCACTGTCACTGGTAACTCTCTCCCTGACCATGGAGATGACCAGAGTCGTGCTCTCAAAGTGAAACCTCCTAAGGGCAGACATTTGCCCCACACTGTAGCCAGCTCCGAAGATTCGCTGGGCAAGAGCAACAAATTGCTCCTCTGTGGGCGTCATTTGAGGAGTCCCCATTGAGAAGGCCATTGCACTGTGCGACCTGATCCCTTGTACATCTAGGGATGTCCTCAAGGACCCGTCCTCCACAATCTCGTCGCATCTTTGATTGAATGCCGCTGTGGATTCCACCAGACTCATGGCGGCTAACAGTGCTATGAAAACTTAAGGAAAGAAAACTTTGGAACTGCCGTCTCAACGTGCCTCAAGTTGACTATCACTGGACTGTGGTATGGTTTCACGTTCATTTAAAAATTGGTTGACCTTGGACTGCCTGACCGCCTTGTGTCCTACCTATGCATGTAGGAGACATGTATGCGATCAAACTCGCACAGGTGACTTACAGCCTGCTATTCAAGCTGAGCCTCTCACGCACATTGAACAACTTTCCCATGCTCACATGTTTCTCTCAAAGAAGCCACTGAACATCACTGGATGTTTCCGCGTGAATGGCGATTGAAACGGCCAGCAGCCCTGGTTTTTCAACAGCCTCTTCTTGTCGACGCAGCATATGAAACGACAGTTGCAGTCCATGGTGCACAAAGTTTTAAACGTCAGTTCAAAAGAAACTGATGCAATGGAAATTCATGGAAGCAGCAAGAAAGTGATCTTTCTCAAATCATCTTTCCCTGGACTGGCCTGTCCTCCAAACACGTGTGGCTCCTTTGGGCTCTCCACGTCTGACTCTGCAAAATCCGACACCTGTGTGGCATCTAAGATGCTTCACTGCCAACTGAACTGCAATGACAAAACAAAGTTTGGAATGTCTGTTGATGAAATTCAATTGACAGTTTATGTCGAAAGCTGTAACTTGCAGAGCTCCGGACAAATGCTACGGCTGTCTTCACTGAACATGCATGACAGTGCACACTTCTCGGCCACTCATGATTTTTTAACTGGCTGTGCAAAACATGTGAAGAGTTGAATTCAACAATTTCACTCAGTTCCCAACCAGTCCACGAAATGAAAGACAGCAGCTGAAGTCAGTTCAAAGCATGCAAGCATGGTTCACTCAAGAGCGCTTTCGGTTGAAACAATTGCTGCATAGTGGCGTGTCAAACTGTGGGGCTTCTTGCAACTTTTCGTGTAAGCTCCCGACAGATCGACCACATACCAGAACTTTGAAATTCTGAACTTCCATGAGATGCAAAGTCTTTAGCTTCTTATGTTGCCAAAGATTGAAACCATCTGGTGCAACAGTTGGTTGAACAACTGGAAAATGTTTGATCTGAGTTGGTCTGGGCTCTTCACTTGATGTTGAGCTCGAATCCAAGTCCTCCGGCTCAGATTCCTCGATGGTCTCAGGCTCGTCCTTCACCTCGATGACGACATTTGCACCTGTGGGCACTGTTGACTCTTCGACTACTCTACCACTTCGGGTCTGGTCGGGGTCAAACTTCCCTTGCGCAATTTCCGTTATCAACTTCTCTAGCACCATGAGACTTGCTGCAGCTCCATCACGGCTGTAGACCATACCCATCTGAAAATTGCTTGTATGGTATCCCAGTTGCAATCGTTCTGGGATTCCAATTCCTCTCTTTGCTGCATAGGAAAGCATGGTACTTTTCAAAGAGTGGCTCGAAACTCCTCGGGAACTGCTGTCCTCTGAGGTGCCAACGATCTTTCGGATCCAAGCAGCACATTCCTGGGTTTCCAAAGGTCTGCCTGTCGGGATGCCCTGTCGATCTGGTGCAGGCATAACCAAACCCTCAGGTGGCCACGCAACACCAAGTTGACGTCTGACATCAAGCCAAACTAAACCCCAGTTGCTTCCATCAACACCAACTGCTGGTGCAACCATTGGTAAAAATTGGTGACGATGCATTTGTGATTTCATTGTTTTGTGTCGTCCAGTCCTAGCTTCTAAATAGCAAAGAACTCCATGCTTGTCACAGTCCTCAATGACTGCCTCTGCCCGCATCAAGTCGCCCCATCTGGAGCGGCAGTATACGGCCATCAACACCGCACCACAAAACATCTTGATCCACAAGTCATCCCCTGCACGCAACAGTCGGTGAAAGCGATTGAGCTCTGACACAGTTAATGGCGATGCTTGAACCCTCTCCTGGAGATGATCCCCTAAACAAGCTCCCTTGCATCTTGCGCTGGTTGTCAAACTTGCAAGCTCATCTACTGACATGACAAACCTGACAAAATTCACTGATTGCATGTAGCCCTTCAAGCGCGACTGGGGTGCGTTGCCCAGTTGTTCACTGCACAAAAAGTCATAGAAAAGCCGTTCATTGCAAGGGAAAACTTCTCCAACACTTTCGAGGTAGTCGCACAATCTCATGATGCTGTATGCCCTCTTACGTACAGTAATGGGTGCCCGACCAGCAAACAAATGAGCGAACATGGTGAAGATCCTGCTAGTACTGCCAAGTTCTGCTATGCTGCAACAAAGACTGCACTTGGTGTCCCACCTGTCCACTAGGGCCATCCAAAACTTCACAGAGCGTTGAAGGTCGGAGTCCCTCTGCTCTTGCCATGAAATGTCAGGCTTGTCTCTGACCACATCTGAAAAGGATAAACCTGAATCCGAAAACAGTTTGGGTTTTGTTGAAGCCGGCATTGCAACGTCGAACTCAGAAGTGGGTCTTGAAGTGTCTGCAGGTCGTTTCAACGTTTCTCCAAATGGCTTGTAAACATCAAGCATGGTCTTGTTCCCAAAGATGACACCCCAGATCCCTTGTTCCCATATAGGTTCGACGGCTTGCATTGGAATAGATCTGGATGCAACTTCCAAGGCAGTGACAGTATCAAAAGACGAAGATGAAGCAACTGCATGAACGTGTTCAGTTGGCAAGGTTTTCTCAACAGCAAAAGTCTGTAACTCATCTGTGTCAGAAACTGAGGGTTCTGCAGAAATACTATCAATTGAACCAACGTCACCTGAATCATCACGCCCAAACAAGTCGTCCAGTCCAGAGTCACGTTTGTCCTTGTTCAAGTCAAACTCAATGGAAGGAAGTGTCACTTCAACTGATGTTCCTCCAACAAAAGACCAGCCAGGCAGTGAAGAATCCGCTGCTACCACAGGTACCTCCGAGGTCGAGGCATCAGCCAATCGAGGGCCAGACTGTTCTGTCCAAGGCTGCTTCACCACCATGGCTATCTCTAAACTAAGTCCCCATTTGACAATCTTTGCCATAATTTTCAGGACTATCCCTCCCTCCCTACCCTTGAAAGGAAATTTTGCCATAACAAAATTTTATAATGTGTTCATGGGTGTGTGCCAAGAAGGGTTTTGTTTTGCAAACTGTTTGGTTTCCAAATTAAAACACAAACACAAACACAAAACCCTAAAGTTGCGTGCAGAAATAAAATCGAGTTTCTTTGCAAGAAACTCTCAACTTCCTCCATGCTCCAGTAGCGGAGTCGCCCGCAACCAGTGTCAGAGGGCGATAAACAGGTCCATCATCTCGATAAAATTTGAACTGACCTTGGAAAATATCTGGGAGACGCTCGATTCTTGAACTCGGTCTTTCTGGTCGAAGGAAGTTTAGA